ACCTGAGAAGCTTCCTTTCGGTCGCCGTTCTTCAAATGGTACTCTGCCAAACCTAGACAATAATACGGATTATGACAAATCCTTCCACCAATGATGTGCTTTGCGTCTTCACGAAACTTGTCAAATTCAGCTTGTGCACTTGTCTTTTCTATTTCTGCAACTTTGAAGTCTTTCTTCTCCAACCAAAAAGCCCAAAACTCCTTCAAATCGTCAAGAACAAACCTTTCCTGTTTCTTTCGCTTACTTCGTCTTTGGTCACCATAGAATTTTAAAAAGAGACCGAAGAGTTGATCTTTGAACACCAGTTCTTTCACGAGAACGTTTTTGATTTCTTCCAATCTTGCAGATTCCCAGAGGTCTCTCATTCGCTTGATTTCGTCGTCCCCAGGACGAACTTCTTCTATGTTCAATTGTTCGATTCCGCTTTGACGGACGATGATTTGAGCTGAACCTTTGTTCCCTTGGCGAGACGTTCTACCAAAAGCTTGCTCTTCTACTCGTAGGTTGCATGGGAGAAAACCGACGCACACGTGTAGACCCCCTTTCAATTCCAAATCTTCTTGTGTTCGGAAGTTAGTTCCGCGTCCTGCTATGTTTGTGGCTAAAATGATATCCCCGATTTTCACTTGTTCTTCTGGTTCTTTCGCGTTGTCTTCGTTTGCGTAAACTCTGGTCTTCTGTATGTTCATAATTTGCTGGTTGAGGTTGAGAAGATCTTCTTCTGTTTCGCAGATTACTAGAACCGCTCTTTCGTTGTTGATTTTTTTCAAAACTTCTGCGATGACTCGATCAACCCATTTGTCGTCGTCGACAACCATCATGGGATATTCTTCGAAGACCTTCTTTTTGTAAGTGGGGATTTTTGCGTAGTTCACGTTGTAGACTTTGGAGAGTAGTTGTTGCTCTGCTTGAGAGCCCAAAGTGCCGGTCATTCCAAAGATGTTTTTGTCTTGGTAATTCTTGATGTAGCCGATGTTGGAAATAAAGCTGCTGGTCAAGCTTTCTGAAGTTAGGTGAAGGTTGTGTTTGAGTTGCACGAATTGGTGTAAGCCATTGGACCAGACTGTGTTATTCATGGTGACACCGGTGTTTAAGTAGTCCACCGGTGCTATGACTCTTTCGCCTTCGTCGTTAACAATGAGGCGATATTGTTGGTGTTCGTGACAGTGGTACTTGGCGTGAAGAGCGTTTGTAATCAGGACGTCTAATTTACTTTTTGCGTATTTCCTCAAATGGAACGGAATCAAAGCAATGTTTGTGGGATCACTTGCTTTGATTTTTTCAGTCAAGTAGTTCTCCATTTCGATGGTGGATTCTTCATACATCAAAGTATTAACTCCACAAGTGTGAGGATCGTTTTCGATTTTGGTTTGGATTTCTTCGCAATAACTTTTTTCAGCTTTGTGTAACTCTTGCCAGATTTTGATGTAGATGTACTTCAGACTTTCCATTCCTGGGTAAGGTGAGGCAAGTTTGGCAATGTGTCCTCCATTATCGATCAACATGCTATCAACTTCGTCTAGAATTACTTGGCCGAAACCTCTACCATGTCTCATGTTAGTTCCTTCACAACTATCGGTCAAAAAATCAAACTGAAAGCTACAGATTGATCCGTAAAGAATATTGGCGGTGTAGCATTTCTTAGACTGACCGTAATTATTGCAGGCAACAGTTAACCCAAACACTGTGTAAAAATCTCTGGTTTCGTTGACAGCATCTTGGGCTAAAACTGGATTGCTGGTTATAACATCGACTGTCAAACCTTAGAGTGCCTTAATAACAGCCAGTAGACAAACGATGAGAGTTTTGCCCTCACCAGTTTGTATTTGACACAACTGACCTTGATTCTTCCGATCGTGGAAAAAAATCAGTATTGACAAAATTTGGGTCGAACGAAGTCGACGTCCATGTTTTAATAAATTGAAAGCTCTATCCATGACGGCAATTGCTTCACAAACAGAGTTGTCATCAGTGCCCAAATGACCTTTCTTCTTTTTCGCCCACTCATTGATAGCTTCAATAACATTATCTTTCCACTTTTCGTATTTAGTTTTAACTAGTAACAATTTGTCTTGTATCCCTTTAACATCAGTTTGTTCTTGTTCTGGATCGTCTTGGTCCCTGTGAAAGTGAATCTGAGGCAACAAATCTTCCATCGGGGCACACTCAACTGAAGGAATTTCTTCGTTGTGTTGACCATTTTTGGCGATGTCTTCGACAAGGGTGCTGATATCTTCAGGGACGAGAGAATCATCTTCTTTTGTTTCTTCTTGTTCTGTGATTTGTTGCCCAAGCGACTTTATTTCGTTGTAATCGACACCAAGCTGTTTGTGTACCGTTTCTAGTGCTTCTGGGAATCGTTCGTCATTTTTGCAGGATTGGAGAATCAGAAAAATTTGTCGCAAGCGTTTCATTTCTTTGGAAAAATCTTCAGCAGCCTCTAGTCGATACTCCTGCGCTTTTTCGTCTACGTGGATTTTGAAGTCTTCGGAAAATTTCTTGATGTTCTCTTCTTGGAGACATTTTTTTCTGGCTTCTTCGAGTCTCTCATGGTTTACATCCCTTTCGTCTTTCTCAAGCTCTTCTTTCAAAATTTTGTGATAGTCGGCGACGTCACTTGCCAGTTTTCTTGGCAAGTTCTTCATGAACTGTTGCAAATACGCTTTGAATTTGGCATTCTTCGACAAATGAACAGTAAAACTGACGGCAGCATCGAATTTTTGTTTGTTGATTTCGGATCCGTTACAAAACGAAATTTCAAGAAACTCGTTACCTACATCGCGTGGTTTCTTCGCGAAAAACTTCAACAAGATTTCCAAGTTTCTTAGACAGAGGGGTCCATAAAGGAAATCTTCGTCTTCTTCGTGGTCTTGGTTTTCGTGAACAATAAATTCCACGTCTGGCACTAGATTTGTCAATGTTCTCTTAACTTCTAGAGGAACGGAAGCACCGGACGAGTCCTTGTACAAAACTGTGCTTTTACCACGATCTGCCCATATCAGACAAAAAACAACCCAAAGATCTACCGATTTTGGCAAAACAACAAACAGCGGCCCCTCGTTTTCAGGAACGCTGAATTTCCTCACAAACTTGTCGAGACTCTTAAAAATGCGGTACTGCCCCTTGTAGTCAAATTTGCTTCTCTTCATCAAAAACTTTGACGCTTTCTTTACATCCTTCCTGTTGTAGGGTTGTATCGATATAAATTTCCATAAAATTTCTTCATTGCCAACTTCTTCTTCGAGGAACGGTTTATAAGACACTCTCAAGGGTTTGGCTTTCTTGATGTTATTCAGCTGCATGTTCACTTCATTACACTCGTTAGCGAGATCTAAAATTTCCGATTTGTACATTTTTGGTTTGCACTATTTGAAAACTCACCTCAGACGAGTACACGCACTTTTGCGGAGAATGGTGTCGGGCACCGTCTTCTTTTTGAATCTAAAATTTTAATACAACGCAATGGGTGGTATGAATAAAACTGAGTAGATGCTCATACTCGAAGTACGAAGTACTTACTTGAGTATTAGCGAGTATTTGCTGAGCATGTACGGACAGTCAATGCTCAGGTATATAACAAAAAATAAAAAAATCGAAAAATCTAATTAAAATAAATGAAAAATTGGAAGATTGAAAAATTGGAGAACTCAAAAATTTAAAAATCGAAAATGTAACATCGGAAAATTGAGACATCAAAAAATCGAAAATTTGAAGAATTGAAAAATTGAAGAATCGAAAATTTGAAAAATCCCAACAGTAAAATTTCGAAAAATTCAATAACCGAAAAACTGAATATTGGGAAATTGAAAAATTCAAAAATTGAAGCGCATTTTTTATATTCATTTTTATGAAATGATGCAATATACTAATATAGCTCTCTTATATTAATCTACGAATTTTAGATGTTGATTTACCATCAATTTTATATATGTATAATCTAATCATCTACAATTCTTTAATAGATCAATGATAAAAACATTGTTTAAACGCTCGACCATCCTGATATATCTATTGACGTATCTAATCATCTAAAATTAAAAATGAAGACTGTTTTACATCCTTGACGACGTCACCGTTTCACTAGGTGGTAGATCTTTAAGTTAATTTTGTTCACACAGAACTTCTTTTCATTTTTCGGCTTAATATTACATACAATCTTTTTGGTTGTTAGTTTGTCCAATGGTCCCCCCAAAAATTTAATGACGTCATCTTAAAATTATTTACTATCATGAAAAAAAAATCAAAATCGTAAAATGAAATTTTGTGTTAGAAATTTTGGTAAGAGCCTAGTAAATAAAATAGAAGACCGATTAAAATTTATTCGTCAGCTCTAGAAAGTATATGAAGTCGTCTCAGAAACGCATTGTCGTTTCTTATTTATAGAACTTGTTAGAGATTGATTATGATTATATATTTGTCCCCACTAGATGCTGGTGACCTCTACTTCTGTTGAAATTATCGCGATTATCATACAAAAATTGAAAATGAGAACTTAAACGTTTTGATAACATTGTTTCATTAATTGCAAACTATGTTTAAAGTTGTCTTTGTTCATCCAATCCGGTCTTAAAAAATGGGCAATCGTACATTCTGGGCAGACATAGATTTTTTTTTAATTTGTAGTTTGTTAAGAGCATTTTTGTAGACAATATAATTATTATTTTATTAATAACATAATAAAAATATTATGTATATGGTATTCAATTTATAAAAATTCTTCATTAAGTGCTTACTTAAAATGCGAAATAAAAAAATTCTGAACTCTCGTCATTTTTTATTTATTTCCCCATTTTCGTCTGTTTGTAATTTTATTAGACTGTTAATCTCGAAACTACCAATTAAAAATTGGCTTTCGCATATTTACGCAACTTTTGTGATCTTAGTTAGCCTTGACTTGAAAAAAAAAAGGGCATCCAACATATTTCACAATGTATCATATCATAAAGTAACCCATGCAATAATAACACTATTACGCAACTTTCATCCACATCTTTACTTACATTTACAGAGTACGTCCACTTCCTTCTTCCTACACCCCACAACTAAAAAACTTGTCGAATTGTTTTACAACGCAATCAAGTGGCACCGAACTCCCACGAACCACTTTCGGTAAAAGTCGTCATCCAATCAGCACTCCGGGCGACGCGTTGGTTAAGAACTGGTGAATTCCCCGTCAGCGAACTACGAATAAAACGAGAACGAACGGGGGGTTACATCCTGCAAATCTGACATCACCTAATTAATTTGGGAAAGCGATAAATATTTTTTTTGCCTAAAATCCGCTCTTTAGTAATTAATTTAAAAACGTTTTTTCCCTTATCTCACACAAACATACTTATTGTTTTCTTGATTATAATCTGCCAATTGGACTTTGAAATGAGTGAATATAATACAGAAATTGAACAACTCATATTTGGTTGCATACTTCAACTTGAAGGAGGAAATATAAAAGTACCAAATTGTCGATGGACTCCATTACTGTACGTCCTTAGGTTATCCTCGACAAGAAAAATAACTTGAAAGTGTTAATGTTTATACTTCGGAAGAATATCACGTAGAAATTAGTCTGATTTTAATGAGTTCGTCCCCTCAAAACAGTGGAGCAAATGCAAAGCTATTAAGTAGTAAGCTACAATCGACAAAATGTTCTGAATATCATTATTACAGTTCTTATTAAATAAAGACCTCTGTATTTTCACATTTTCGTGAAAATGGGGTGACTCGTTCTTAATTTCATCAATAAAAAATATGAACGCTATGATGAATCACAAATAATTGTTTGTTTTTTGTAGTTCCTGATTAAATCAATGAAATAAATTCACGCATTGATTAATTTTTTTGAATCAGCCTGTATATGCAAATCCAAAAAATATTAATGGAATGATAAATCACAAGAAAAGATTCATCATATTTTATACACTTTAGATAGGATTTATTCAGCAAAATTTTGGGGTGGCGTCATCAATTTTTTAGGGGGGATGAGCAAATATATTTTGATAAAAAATTTACCATGCTTATAACTTTAAAACATCTTCACGATTTCAAAGCAATCGGTTTTGTAGTAGCTGAATACATCAATAAAATAAATTTACGCATTCATTAATTGTTTGAGTCACCCTGTATATGCTAATCCAAAAAATATTAATGGAATGATAAATTACAAGTACAGACTCATCATATTTTGTACATCTTATTTATTCGACAAATTTTTGAGCTGACGTCATCAATTTTTTGGAGGGGATAAGCAAATATATTTTGACTAAAAATTTATTATACTCTTTATAACGTTAAAACATCTGTAAGATTTCAAAGCATTCGGTTTAACAGATTCAAAATTAAATTGCAAAGTGTTGTTTTATAATTTTGATTTTTTTTTTCCAAAAATCTGGATGTTTCGGGTAAAAACTCAATTCGGAATGATAGACTACAGGTGTAGGACTATGTTATTTTATACAATTTAAAACCCATTTACATTCCCAATATAAATACAAAATTTGACAACAATCGGCCCAGAACTTTCGGCGATTATTATCTGTCTAATAAAAATCGGTACAGCAGACAGACATATGGAAACGAGAGACCTATTTTTTCGTTCTCTTGGGGTCATGAAAGGTCGAGAAAACGTAAAACTAGAGTGTGGACCAACGGACTCGATTATAATATTTCCTTCGCTTGCGCAATCCTCGGGGTACCGCGTCAATTTGTCGCGTGACAATTGATCGCAAACAACTAATCGCAGCGTCAATTGGTCGCAGCGACAACTGGTCGCAACGACAACTGGTCGCAGTCACAATTCATCGCAACACAATTCGTCGCAAGTACAACTGGTCGCATGCAACAATTGATCGCAGACGAAAAATGATAGCGTTTATAGAGAAAATAAGTAATTGTTATGCATGAGGATAATAAAATAAAGTGCTATATTCTCAAAAATTACATTATTTCTAGAAAAGTATCAAAATAAATACATACCAGTTCCATAAAAACAGTAAATATTAGGCTCATTTCGGACTAAACCAAAGTGCAAAAAAGTGAAAATATTGTAAAATAATTTTTTTAATGCTGACACATATTTCGTTGGTATGCTATTGTTGTTCATTTGGATTATTCGTCTTATTAATTAGACACTGAAGTAAGTGATTCATGTTTTTTTTCTCAAAAGTTTAAAGTTTGTCAATTAAACGAGTGAAAAAATAGTTTTCAAAACGTGTTACATAAGTCATTTTTTTTAAATAAAAAATGGCTTTAAAATTATTACAACTGTCAAATTAAAAATTTATAGATTTATAATAATCAGTGAAATTGTGAAAAAACTCTTGTTACAGTTTTAAGTGAAAAAGTATTCTACTTTCTCAGTTAGAGCAGCTTTAATGTGTAGTTTTAACCCAACCTAAATTCAATGTCAGTTGCCAAATTAAAATTGAGTGAGGGCAAATATTAACATGTTTTTCACTAGATATGTGGCATCTTGATGTTGCAAAAAGTCTGATATTCTACAAACTGGACCAAGAATAAATTTAGTTCGGTTGATAACGTTTTTTTTGGAACGAAGTTCCTTACGGCAGGCTTGGAGGAGATAGGAATTTTGCTTCACGACCGAACTGAAATAAATGTGATCCTAAAACCGTAACGAAAACTCCGTGGAAAAATGGCCGCCTTACAAGTGTAGGTAAGCAGAGAAAAAATGTTGTGCCTCGGTGGGATTCGAACCCACGTTTCCTTGCTCTCCGGGCAGGTATGCTGACCACTGCACCACGAAACGACTTATTTACACTCTGCTTACCCACGTGTTATTGTGCCGCCACACAAGATTGAAGGTCCGCACACGTGCAGCTGCCTTACAAAGACACCGCCAACACGTGGAGACCGCATCGACAAAATATAAAAAATGTCCTAAACACTTTTCGTTCTCTCATCCCTTCTCTCTCTATTACCACTCCACCCCGCCAATGCATAGTATATACTCATGAATTCATGGACAAACACGTGGCGAATACGCACATTATAGATACATTTTACTCGTGAGTAGCCACGTTTATTTTCATACAATTTTAAATCGTCAAAACAATAATAAATATAGTAACAATGGCAAAGCAGAGTATCAAAAAGCGTATAGGGAACGCGAAAAAGCTAAAAAAAATGAAAATAAGCAAGAAAGTTACGATATAAAGCAAAGATATCCTCTAAACTAGTGACAATATTTAAAAAGTTTATTGATTGTTTTTTTAAATAATTAAAACAAATTCTCCCTTCAATTCCAAACATTTAAATATATATATATATATATATATTTTGATAATTCTACCTATTTTACGTAATTTATTATTTCCTAAAATACTGAATTTCCTAAATATTTTCCTGTACTTAAATAAAAACTAATCAGCAAAATTTAAGAGAAAAATCAAGAAAACCTGCATAAAATTGAGCACGTTTTTTTTTGCAAATTGTGTCGATTTTACATTAGCCGAAGGAACTTCGTTCCTACCTGGTGTCCCACGACACCACATTTCTTTTTTTTAATATTTGGAGCATATGAAACTGCATTTCTCTGCATATATTAATAAAGTTACTGCATATTTGCATCATTTTGCTGCATATTTTCGGCTCCCTAGTCATAACTAAACCGGCTTCAGCGCTTAAAAGTGACTTAGCGCCAAGCATTTGATAATGGCAGCCTAAGAAAGTTCCCTCTGAATTAGTTAATTCTATTGCCAACTCAAATAGTACTTGTCGATCCTACTGTATTTACCATTTACAGCTACACAATACTTGTAAAATATTAAATTAACATTAATATTAAACAAGCTTACCTGGGAAGAATTTTCAGGTGTTTCACATTGTTCATCGATATTTGTTATTCTCGAAATCTAGAAATGCAATTGCAAATAATTTATTATAAAAAGTATTGAGCACCAATAACTTACGGTTGCCATGTTTAATTAGAACAAAAAATAATAATTCTTACACAATTGAAACTTGCAATGAAAATAACTTTGGTCACTGTTACTGTGTACATGTAGACTATAAAGCCATTTTGATAGAGATGCAATAAAACAATCAATAGGTATTAATAAAAAAATAATCTTATCTCTTAAAAAGCTTCTAAGAAACATGGTCCTCCTAAATCCCCCGTTTTGTTTGCCCATTTTAAAGCTTATTTTAGCTTTTTACTTTCCGAGCGCAGATTCTACGACAACTGGTCGCAAACAACTGATCGCGCGACAATTGATGGCAAACAACTCGTAGCAGCACAATTGATCGCACGCGACAATTGATCGCACGTAAATTGATCGCGCGTCAAGGTAAAATTCATCGGGAAGTATTTTCTTTTATTAAAATTGTGGTAGCTCAGCGGTTTATTGATAATAAGCAAACAATACAAAGCAAAAGTAGGGTATGGGTTCTCGAAGTGGTGGCAATTCTCGTCGGGGATGGTGGCGGCTCCTGGGACTCAGAGCGTCGTAGGGGATGACGGCGGTGATGTATGTAGCACAGGGCACCTGGACAGTGTGACCCTGGAGATGCCGACGTCGGCGATGCGGCACAGGGAACCTAGAGAATGCGACCCTGGAGATGATGACGTCGGCGATACGGCACAGGGGACCTAGACAGTGCGACCCTGGAGATGACGACGTCGGCGATGCGGCATAGGGTACCTAGACAGTGCGACCCTGGAGATGACGTCGTCGGCGATACGGCACAGGGGACCTAGAGAGTGCGACCCTGGAGATGACGACGTCGGCGATGCGGCACAGGGGACCTAGAAAGTGCGACCCTGGAGATGACGTCGTTGGAGCGGCGCAGGGGGACCGTAAAACAGTGCAGCCCTGGTGATGATCTCGAAGCGGCGCAGGGGACCGTAAAACAGTGCAGCCCTGGTGATAATCTCGAAGCGGCGCAGGGGACCGTAACACAGTGCAGCCCTGGTGATCACCAGAAGGGGACCGAGACAGTGCAGCCCTTAAGGTGGAGATGGTGGAGTTCCATCTGCCTGAAAAGCGTCCGAGTTGCCCTTTTATAGGCAGGGTTGAGATGCGTGGGAGTACCTGCACAATGAAGTAGCTTCAGGTGGGGTGCGTTCCAGTGGGGGTGAGCTTGGTGGGGTTGATACTGGCGCTGCCGAGGACAGCGCCCTCGAGAGGGTACTAGCGGAGCGCTTTGAAAGCTCCGCTACAAAATTAAATATTTTGTATTCTGAATTTTAAGTTACAATAAATTTAGCAATCAGGTAAGGTGTAAATATCGAATTAAAAACAATTTGAATATAGATAAGTGACGAAGTTTCTAGTTGCACTTTAAAAATTAAAAAATACGAGCGTAAACACCCCAAGCAGCAGACTGTCGTCTAATTCACGTCAATTTTTGGTCATAACTCGTCGGCGGCGTCATTCGCCCAAAAAATCACGTGAAAATGACGACATTTTTATGACTTACTTCTGACGTCAAAAGACCGTCCTTTCTTCGTCATTTTTTATAGATTATATGATCAATTAAATGTGGGTTGTCGTATTCTTTAAAAAGTGGCCTTTATAATGCTTGATTATATTTAGAGCAAAAAACACAACGGCTTAATTAGAAATACACCAAAGACAAGTTTTTTCATTCTAATAATTTTTAATAAAATAATTATTTCTTGTTGTTTACTCTGGAAGTGTTATTTTGTAAGTACCTGCTTGGCAAATTATAAATAGAACATCTGGGGTTGAGCGAAAAGACCCAACGACACAAACAAAGTCATAAAAATTCTTTGTCCATTGTCCCTAAAACGGGACAAGGTTTTGAAGAATTCCTTCGTCGAATTTTGATTTTATAAAGACGTTTATAAATTGATGACGGTTACCAAAAAAATTCGAGAGTGATTAATATTCAGTTTTATTAAATTTATTCTTGTCCGTATTTACTATACAATACATCAGATGTTTGGGGTGTGCATTCGGACTTTCCCTTTTTTCGGTATTTATGTTTATTGCACTTCACAGAGAAGCATTCCAATATTTCCAGTTGGTTCTCAACCACCGAAACTTTCTCTTGTATCCGTTACTCACTTCATTTTTAACTCAGTTTTGTGCAAATTTATGCCATTCAGTGTGGGTTGTACTTATTTATAGTAGGTAAGTTAATATCTAATTAAGTAATCATTTTAATTTTTACGTGTTTCTGTTATTTTTGATAACTGTACGTAGATAACAAAAGCAGTTTTTTCAGATAAGCTGGAAAGACCACCATTAATCACTGAAGATACTCCTACTGATTATGAAGAACTTACGGTGATTGTTTTTGAAAATGAGGCGCTATAAAATATTGCAAAGGTATGTTACTGCAATTTTTTATGAACTAATGCTAATGAACATAATTTTATTTTAGATTTGAAACAAATCCAAAACACATGTGCGAAACGAAAGAAATGCTAAAGGAAACGAGTGAAAAAATCTCCAACATGAAAACGTCATGAAATCTGACAACTGAAAAAGAAAACAAAAACAGAAATTATGCCGCCAAAACCACACCTAAACAAATTGTGACGAATTACATGATTATGTTTGCATATTACAACAAGCAGATTTCTTTGTAAGTTAAAAAAATACAATGAATTCATATATACATATATAGCATTAATATTGGATATTAGGTATATACCGGTAGATGCCTGTAATATATTACGATACTTTTTGGTAACTTACTATTTACACATACACATTTCCCTTCATTGTAAAAAGTATTGACGAGATTTTCCTGATAGGCTGTACGTTTTTGTCAATGCGACCATTTTACGATTATCCGTTAGATGCAAGTAGATAAATTTAGCATTTTTAAAATACAGAATTTGTCTTCTGCTTTAAGCTGTAATCCCTTAAATTTAATAATAGTCAAATGCTTGCTATTGCCCATAGATGAAAAAATGATTGCATTTCCATTAATCCATGCACTCTAACGGGATTTTCTTTCCAGTGCAATAAATTGAGGCAAACTTAAAAAACTTAGGTTATTGATATGATTGTTAAAACAGAATTAATTACATATACTGTGGTTTTACAGTGCATTTTCAATCAAGTAACTCCAACAATGCTATTCAATTGTCTTTTCCCGTTATTCTAGTTTTTTTTTTAATATTTTTTGTAAATAGATTTGTTTGTGTTTCTAAGACTGATCTATACTTTATTATAGTTTCTTTTTAATATTCTTTGTAACTAAATAGATTTCTTTGTGTTTTTAAAACTGATTTTTCTTTAAATAGCATATTTTATTGTAACGTTTATTTTTGATTATACCGGGTGTCTGGAAAATGGCGGCTTACCTCTCCGCTACGTTCTTAACAATCAACTGGTGAGTCTGGGAAAAATAATAAAAAAAATCCTTCCCACATTTTGGTGGAGTTATAATGATTTTAAAATTGGTTTTTTTCGGGAGTCCCAAAAAATAATAAAAAAATTCTTTATAATGTAGATAACGAAGAAAACGTGATTTTATAAAAGTAAAATTGGCAACACTGTACACACCTAATGCTCCCGTGTATATCGTACTGAAGAGTTAATCCGCCATTTTCCAGAGAGCCGGTATATTGTACAATATCCTTTTTTTTTTGTTTATACTAATTAAACTCGTAATTACCTGTATGTAGATTTGTTTGTGTTCTTAAGAGTGGTTTATCTTTAATTTGTTTAATTGACATATTTTTTATTTGTTTATTGAAGTTCATTGTTGGTTGTACAAAATTGTAGTAAATTTAATTTTTTTACACTAATTTGTTTTAACTTTAATTAATATATACTTTGTTTTGGGCTTTACTTAGTGATTATAACGAATTATAATATTTTATTTAAGCTAAACAATATAAAAAAATAAAATTATTTCAGTGTTTTATTTATTGCATATTTTTTTCTAAAAATCAAAATACAAAAAACGTCTTAAGGCTGGCGTCTGGTTCGGTTTAGCCCTATACTAAATACATTGAAAACATCGTCGCGGTTTCCGGAGTTGCATTTTAAAAATATGAGATATATCGCTTTAAAAAAAATATATTTCGAATTAACAAACTTCAGTCCAGGGGACCTCCATATTTATATTCATATCTAGTATGCAGTTTTTACAAAAAAAAATTATAAAGTTGAACAACTTTTACATCACATTTTAACCGGCACATTGATGCATTTTTTGACGAAGTGCTGAAGTTTTTTGCATTCTGAGATAGGAGGTCCCCTGGGGAAAAGTGTCAGCTTTCTTTTGATACCATTTATAATATTAAAAAATCCACTGAGGTAAATAACTCGCGAAAAGTCAAAATCTATTGAAACGAGAAATCGGCATTAAACGAGCTGTGATGCGGTAGCAGAATGCAGGTTTACTTAGATTCTGACTTGGTTGGAGATTTCAATATTTTAAAAATGCAATTCCGGAAACTACGACGATGTTTTCAATGTATTTAGTATTGGGCGAAACCGAACCAGACGCCACCCTTAAAATGGACAATAAATGCCGTCTCTAGGACGTCAGTAAATCACGTCAATAATTCTTTACAAAATGACGACTCTAAAACGTCAGTACATCACGTCAATAGTTCGTGAGAAAATGACGTCATTTAGACGAGACATTTGACCGTCATTGGTACGTCAACATCACATGAAATTTTTGGTCACTATGACGTAAATGATGACCATTTATTCACGTGAAAAAGACGACATCATGTTGCCTGGGTCGCTTTCTTCGTTGTTAATTTCGATTGTACTAACTTGATTTGCCAAGATTCTAGCGCGTTCAAGACATTTAAAAGCAAAATCATACTTACGTTGCTCTTTCGTAACTGTTTGAAGTCTTCACTTCTTTTTCGCTCATAAGTGAAAGAATTCGAGAAATCTTGTTTTCGATACTTAGCACCTTCCGCGGATTTTTTTTAGCTTCTTGATATTTACTCAAAGCGGCGGGATATTTATTCAGAGCCATTTGATAATTTCTAGTTCTAATCATGTCAACGGCTTGGTTTTTTAACTTCGCCGCTTGAAAGAAGCTGTTATTTCCGCTGATCTTCAGTTCGGAGATGTGCAAATTTTGTTGAGGCTTGTTTTGAAACAACCCAACTTTTCCTTGGACCCAAGACATAGTTCTGTGAAAGAGACTTTCCGCCTCTTGTCCAAATATGTCCAAGTTGACAGATAGTTGAAAACAAGACTTTGCCTCATCGAATTTTTTTGTGCCCTCTTTGATGATCCGTCGTTCTCCAGGCTCATACCTTCTTGGTATAAAGTTTCTCCGAGTAGACAATAGACTTGACATTCTTCGTTCTTAATGATTTTAATTGCATCACTTTGGATCGTCAGTGTTTTAGCCCGGCAAGATAGTCAAGGCTATGATAATACCAATGTTGATTGGTTGCTGTTTTGGCTATTTCTATCAATTTTGTAGCTTCTTGATCCTGTTTCCGTTCCTTGGTAATTGTTGTTGCAGCACTGATTTCTTCAATCTGCTGTTCTACACGTTTCACAGGATCAGAAAAATATTGTTCTCTTAATCAGGAGTCTTCCACGTATATTCTTTTAGCTTCTTTATGTTTGCGCAAAGTTACCTCGTATTTATCGAAGGTCGTTCCATATTCTTCGTTCTGGACCATCTTAGAAGCTTCATCTTTTAGTCCCATAGCTTCAGTGACACTTCTGTTTCCACTTATCTTCAATTCGGAAAAATGTATCTTCTGCTGGGTCTCTCCACTATACACCGATTCTAACGATCATTAGAAGAAAGACATCGCTTTCGAAAATTTGCCTTCCTCTGCTTGTAAGTTTTCTGCTCTCTCCATAGTTAAACCTGCTGCGCAAATACTGTCTCCAATCGAACTGTATACCTCACCTTCTTCACTTCTAATTTTCCTAACAACTTAAGTATGGTCAAGAGCTTGGTCATGCAACCGTCGCCTCATCGCCTCTCTAGCTTTCCTCAACAACTCGTCAGCTTCTTCGTTTTTCTTTTGTTTGGCATTGTTTACGACCGTTCAATGATCTTCTTATTGTCGAGTCTGTATGACATTTTGTACGATTTTTGGCTATGGTCGAATCGTGCGCAACATCCCACAGAATATTTTAGATCTATGCGGAAAGTGTCTTCGGATCCGTCTTTGAAAGTTAACGTGACAGTCACAGGACAATGGCTTGCATGTGAGAAGAGGTTTACGATGCGTTCTACTGATTCTTTGGCATTTATGGATAAGTCTCGTTGTTTGCTGCTTGGATGATTACTCTTCACAATCGAAGCCATCCAACCCTGATACAGAAATGCTGCCGATGTCAGTGCTTGTGTCGTTGACGATTTTGTTATTTGAGGACGTGGTGCCCATTTTTGTGAAAACTGGAAGGAAAAAAAAAGACGAACGTAGATTCAAGGACTCTAGTTTAAAGATATTGTTGTTAATATTTATCACAGAGTATGAGAAGGGCGTTTGTACTGGTAATTGACATTCAAAGCATCTCAGGCGTTCGTCGTCTGACTTCCTCTAGAGATGTCATGTGATTTTACTTACAAATAAAAACTGGGGGCCACCACTAGACTTTTGGCATCATGTCGAGATACAACACGTAAAACGACAGAAAAACAAAACAAGAAGTTTTAAAAATCTAAAAATATTTAATATCGACAAAACTGGATTATAATTTATCAAAAATACTACTAAAAGGCAAAATACAAAAAATAGATCTACATATGACAAGCTAAGTAAATGAGATTTATTACAATACTTCCTGCTACCATAAATTTTACAATAACTCTCACTTTAACGTTGAATGCAACTTAGATTCAGCTTCCTCCTTTTCACCCTCCACCACCTCTATTTTTTGTTATTTATTATGAGCCCACTAACTTGACCTTCCATTATCTGTACACTAATAATAATTAAAGCTCGGATAATATGCAAAATGCATGTTTTTGCATATTCGGCATATTTAACTAATGGTACTCGTAAGTGCACTTTTATGAATATTTTAAAATTTTTGCTGAATTTTTCGTGGTAATTGGTGAAAATCTTTATTTTAATACAATTTTAATACAGTTGGTTATTGGCAGTATGCAAGTAAATAAGTACCGACCTTTTCCAGTAATGCGGACGGGTTTTTCCAAGACTTCATTTATGGGCACCCCCAATTTGGCGTGTTACAGAAATTCTTTACTTAACAGCCTCTAAGCTGGATGTTGTAAATATAGATAGTTCTGCAAATGTATTTAACGAGGAGTTGGAAGAAATGGACACTCTAGAATGGATTTGTAAGTGTTTCATTTTTAGATTTCCAAATTCATTCCTCATTCGTCGACGAACTTGGCAACAGCGCAGTGATATTACAAATAATTAAAAAAATTTCTTCCAAACTATTATCGCGGATTCCTCCCTAATTAGAGTTGGTTCTAGATGGAGATGGTATATACACCTGGAATACAGTAAAACTGTCTATAAAATGTCGCCAAAAGTAGAATATAAAAGCACATACATTTACAAATATGATTTCAACCTAGTTTTCAGGTAAGACAATTGTTTCTCCAACTCTTCCACAAACATCTTCTTTTTCTTCATCACTGCTTGTATATTACCCACAAAGTCTGACATATTTTCATAAGCATTTTTCAAGCAATCACGAATCGCAATTGCAACATCCAAACAAATTTCTTCAATTACTTCGTCAATATCGTGGTTTTCTTCTTCAATGGAAAGACGTTCCTCAATTTTAAACGCAAAATTATATATAAGACAGACAATGTTTGCCAGATTTGCGATTCCTTAGATTAGAAAATTGCTGCTGCTGAAAATAGAATTTGGTTGAAAGACACAACATCAAACTTTTCTGACAATTTTGAGTAAATTGTGCCCACTACAGTCTTAAACTCGGTTCCGTTTAACAATTTCTCTACAGCTTTGTCTACGTCTTTTCTTTGTGCTGTGAGAAGGTTCAACCTCAAATCGTTGTTCTTATCAACCGAGTTTCGTAGTTCTTTCATAATCCCATTAAACAGCTTCTCAAAAACTTAATTTTCTCTAGGTTATACAACGTTGTTGTGAAGGGCATGGTGCTTCGCGAATTTCATGTCGGTTTTTATCGTGAGGTCTAAAAGTAACTCGACGCGTGTTACTTTCAGTTTGGTTAACTTTGGTTAAATTCTTCAGTTCAGCAGTCAAACGAACCTCCTCGAAATACTTTTGTAACTTATCAACAACTTTAGCCAAGCGTTCGCAGATGCTTTTCACACGGGTGCTTCTAAGTATGTAAGAACTCTGACAATCTTTGACAATATTCGAAAGCTGTTCCAGCAGGGGTTCGACTGACTTCATTAGTTTTGATCAAATATCGTCGATAGTATCAGCAGCCTTTCTGCAGAGAGAGGGCAAAATGGACCATGTACACATTACTAGAGTTTTCAAAGTATTTCGAAGTTCTTTTATTAAAGGTTGAATGAACGTGGATATCGTCATTCAAACGTCGAAAATGAGTAAACCAAATAACAACAACCAAAACAAAAGACATTTTATTAAAATACATCACAACAAATTCTACAATACGTTATCAATTTAACGTTGAATAAATGTATTTTGCAACTTAGATTCAACTTCCTCCTTATCATCTTCTACTGTCTCACTTGTTCTGTTATCGATTCTAAGCCCACTGATTTGACCTTGCAACATCTGCACACTATTTATCTCATTTACGGTATCTTCAACTCTCTCGATCTGTGCATCCGCGATTTTCACGGAGCGTGCAAAATATTCTTCCTCGTGTTTGGCACCTTCCACGTAGTCTTCTTTAGCTTCTTTATATTTACCCAAAGCGACGTCGTATTGATCTAAAGCCTCCTTATATTGTTCATCATCTTGACATAAAGAAGCTTCGTTGTCGAACTCCACAGCTTTGTTAAATTTCTTATCTCCACCGATCTTCAATTCGACAAGATGTAGCTTCCTTTTTGTTTCTTCACAATCTACCAATTTCATCCCCCGCTGTAACAAGGATTTCGCTTTATGAAATCTTATTTTTGCTTGTTCCACATATCCTCCTTTCTCCGAATCCAGACCTTCCTCAAACAACATTGTCCCATACAAACAACAAACTTCACTTTCTTCTTTTCTTATGCTGGTCATCGTAGTTTGATTTGCCGATAATTTAGCTTGACTAAGAAGTTTGAGAGCGACGTCATAGAAATTTTGACTTCTTGCTGTTTTAGCTTTTTCTATAAGTTCTTTGGCGTTTGCATCCCGCATCTGTGCTTCAGTGTTTCTAATGGTAACTTTAATTTGTTCAATTTGCTCATTTATCAGTTCTAGAGAATTAGAGAAATATTCTTTTCGGCAACCGGCACCTTCCTTATATTTTTCTTTAGCTTCTTTACATTTAGCTAAAGCTGAAACATACTTATCCAACGCAGAGTCATAATCTTCCTTTTTAATCATTTCAACACCTTCGTCTTTTAATGTGACAGCTTCGGCGAAACTTTTGATTCCGCTAAGCTTTAAATCGACGAGTTGCAACTTCTGCTGAAGCTCTTTATTGCTCACCAATTTCGCTGCTCTTCGGAAAAAAGTTTTTGCTCTTTTAAATTTACTTTGTGCTCGTTCTGAGTGTCCTTCTGTATCTAACTTCAAACCCTCTACAAACACAGATTTACCATACAAGTTACAAACTGTACTTTCTTCATTTCTGATCGTCGTAAGTGTATCCGGTTGATTTGCTACACTTTTAGCACCCTTAAGATGTTCAAGCGCAAAGTCATACAACTGTTGCTTCGTCGCTTTTTTAGCTTCCTTTATCAATGCTTTCGCTTCTTCATTGTGTTGTTGTTTTGTAGTGTTTTCGATTGCGGCTTCTACTTGTTCGATTTTTTTATTTACGGCATTAAAGGAATTGGAGAAATAGCTTTTGCGATTTTTGGCACCTTCTAAATACTTGTCTCTAACCTCTTGGTATATGGTGAGAGCCGCATGATACTTATTCAACGCCAATTCATATTCTTTGTCGTTGCTCATCACCATAGCTTGATTTTCCAACGTTACACCTTGGCTTAAACCCTTACAGCCATTAATTTTCAACTCGACCAGACGCAACTTCTGTCGAGTTTCACTACTGTTCACCAACCTCAGCGATCGTTGAAACAAAGATTCTGCTTTGGCAAATTTACTTTCCGCCATTTCTGAATGTTCTTTCTGTTCCCAGTCCAAACCTTCTTCGAACAGCGTCACCCCGTACAAACTACAAATCCGACTTTCCTCGTTCTTAATGTTCTCAAGTGTATCCGACTGATTTGCTAATTTTTTGGCACCCTCAAGGTGTTCAAGCGCTAAATTGTATAATCGTTGCTTCATTGCTTCTTTGACTTTCTTCATCAATGCTTTAGCTTGTTCATTCTGTTGCTGTTGTGTAGTCTTTTTGATAGTGGCCTCTACTTGTCTGATCTGTTCGTTCACCATGTTTACGGAATTAGAGAAGTACTGTTGTCGATACCTAGCACCTTCTAAATACTGTTCTTTAACATTTTTGTATGTAGTAAGCGCGGCAAGGTAAATATTCAAAGCCTCTTTATATTGTTTGTTCTCGCTCATCTCCCAGGCTTGATTTTCTAACTCCATTGCTTGCCGCAAACTCTTATTACCATTAATTTTCAATTCGACTAAACGCAACTTCTGTTGAGTTTCCCTACTGCTTTCTAATGTCAATGATCGTCGTAACAAGGACTCGGCTTTGTCAAATTTTTGTTGGGCCATTTCTGAGTGTTCTCTTTGTTCATAATCCAAACCTTCTTCAAACATTGTCTCCCCATATAAACTACAAACTCGGCTTTCTTCGTTTTCAATATCGTCGAGGGTATCGGATCGAACTGCTAAGGTTTCGGCACGATCAAGGCAGTCAAGAGCAAAATCGTACAAACGTTGAGACTTTGCTCTCTTAGCTTCCCGCAACAATTCTTTGGCTTCTTTATTTTGTTTCTCGTCTCTAGTGCGTTCTATAAAACCATCAGCTTGTCCGATTCGATCTTCTGTAGCTTCCACAGAATCTGAAAAATATACATCCCTAGATCTTCGACCTTCTTCAAATTTTCTTTTAGCTTCTTTATATTTGCGCAACGCTGCCTCGTACTTGTCCAACGCTGTTTCATATTCTTCGTTCGCAACCATCACAGAAGCTTCATTTTCTAATTCCGTAGCTGTATTGGTACTTCTGTTTCCACTTATCTTCAATTCGGAAAAACGTATCTTCTCCTGTGTCTCTCCACTATACACCAACTCCAACGATCGTTGGAAGAAAGACTTCGCACTCGAAAATTTACCTTCTGCTGCTTGGAAGCGTTCTGTTCTTTCCATAAATAAACCTTCTTCGAACATACTTTCTCCATACGAACTAAAAACCTCACTTTCTTCACTCCTGATTTCCCTAACTATATCAGCTTTACTTGCTAAATTCTTAGCGTGACTAAGATGGTCAAGAGCTTGGTCATACAACCGCCGCCTCATCGCCTGTCTAGCTCTCCTCAACGACTCTTCAGCTTCTTCGTTCTTGTTTTGTTCGGCAGTATTTTCGATCGTTACAATGATCTTCTTATTGTCAAGTCTGTATGTCATTTTGTGTGATCTTCTGCTATGGTCGAATCGTGCGCAACATCCCTCAGCATATTTTAGATCTATGCGGAAAGTGTCTTCGGATTTGTCTTTGAAAGTTAACGTGACAGTCACAGGACAATGGCTTGCAGGTGAGAAGAGGTCTACGATGCGTTCTACTGATCGTTTGGCATTTATGGATAAGCCGTTTAGATTGCTGCTTGGATCATTACTCTTCACAAAATCGAAACTATCAAAGTCGTATACAGAAGTGTTGACGATGTCCGTGCTTGTGTCGTTGACGATTTTGATGGTTGAGGACGTGGTGCCCATTTTTGTGGAAACTGGAAGGTTAAAAACTTTGTGAATGTTAATTCTAAAGCTCCACTTCGAAGTTGTTAAAGTTAAGATTTAGTCTTTCGTCATGTAACTTCCCCTAGAAGTGTCGAATGAATTTAGTTGCAGAGGAAGATGTACAGAATCTTATTTGAAAACAAAACCTACGGACCACCCTTATACTTTTGTCACTATAGCAAGGTGCTGCCTCTAAAAAGAAGGCAAGGATCTCAGGAAACACAAATTTTGTACACTAAAATAGAATTGCTCTAAAATTATTTATTTGGACAAAATTTCCTTTGCACTTGAAATTAAACATTTAAATAAATTCATTGTCTTAGAAAAAAAAAAGTTAACGAAGATGGGATTCAAACCATGAGCGCAGAGTTCAAACTGTTCAATTTCAATGCATTAATCACTCTGCGACCTGCGTGTTTCGTATGTGAACGTGAAACCCGTGGTAAATATAATGCAGATTTCTGTAAAGCAATTGTGCTTAAACATCAAGGTAGATCCATAAACCACAAGTTCAGGATCATGATATTTTTTTTAATTTAATAGTCTACCAGGCAAAATGTTGGCGTGACGACATTCAAACTGTTTGCCTACGCTCGGGAAGTAACAAAGTTTAAAAATGCAAAAACATTTAATATTTGCAAAGCTAAATTACAGTAAAAGCTTTTATCAAAAATACAGCATGTAAAAAGACAAGTAAGAACAAAATAAGTAGTTTTAAAAGTATAAAAATATTTAATATTGGTAAAAGTGG